GTTCCTGACTTAATGAAAAAGGATTGTCTTTTACAATTAAGTAAGATATTAGCTGTAGATTTTTGTAGGTTCTCTACATCAAGTTGATGTAGCTTCCCTCTATTCTCAACTTATTGAGAGTTTTTTGATCATCCATGGATGTTGGGTTTTATCAAATCTTTTTAAATCAGCAAATATTATTACATGATTATCATTCCTTAGCCTGTAGATGGGATTAATAACACTGATCCATTTTCAAATGCTGAAACAGGCTTACATAGCTGAAATAAATTCCAGTTGCTCATAGTGTATAATTCTTTTAATATATTGTTGTATTTAGTGTGCTAATATTTTTGCTGATAGTTTTTTGTGTCTAAGTTCATGAGAGATATTGGTCTATGGTTTTCATTCTTTGAGCTATCTCTGTTTGATTTTGGTATCAGAGTAATATAGGGTATCCAGCTCATAATATAAGCTGGAAAATGTTCTCTCCTCTTTAATGTTCTGAAACTGTTTAAAATTAATCTTCAATATTCTTTAAATATTTGGTAAAATTCTCTACTGTAGCCACCTAGGCTTGGTGATTTCTTTGTCAAGAGTATTATGAGTATTATAAATTCAGTTTGTTTAGCTGTCATGGAACTACGCAAGTTATATATTCCATCTTGTACAAGTTTGGTAGTATGTGGTTTTTGAGAAATTAGTCCTTTTCATTTTTAATGGTCAAATTTACAAGCATGAAGTTGCTTGTAACATTTCCTTATTATCCTTTTATTGGCTGCAGAATCTGTGGTTATAGCCCCTGCTTTCATTGCTGATTTTAGTGATTACATCTTTTATCTTTTCATCTTTGTCAGTCTGCTAGGGGTTTATTAATGTTATTAATTTTTTGAGAGCTAGCTTTTGGTTTCATTAATTTTCTCTATTGTGATTCTGTATCCAGTTTCATTTATTTCTGTGTTTATTTTTATTGTTTTCTTTCTTCTGCTTATTTTGGTCTTACTTCACTTTAGTGAATTCATAAGAAAATTAAAAAAATATTGGGTCAAAATCCAGAAAAAATAGAAATCTAGAGTTGAATCTCACTGTTGCCATGGGGACATTTTTGGATTTCCCAAAAATTGCCCAAGAAGTGGAGCAGAGATTTTAAAAACCTTGAGGGGTTAGGAGGATAAAAGTTGCATTCCAGGTGCCAGTAAGGTATAGGTTGAGGATAAGAAGGGATCTTTTATGACTCCAGTATTTTTTATTGGGCCCTGAAGACATTAGACTCAGAAGTAAGAGCAAATTCCTCTTCTTCTTTTTTTTCTTTTTTCTTTTCTTCTTTCTTTCCTTTTATTTCCTTTGGAAATGGTAGCATGACAAAGGGCTAAGGAGTTTCAGGGCCTAGCAGACAACAGCAACAGGGGATGTGAAAGTGGCAGTGAGTCTAGATGTCAAATAGGTGGCAGGACAGAGAAGGTGTTCAGTATGATCAGGAAAATGGTTACACACAAGTGGAAAATTAAGCAAACAAGTAAATATGTTAAATATATTAAGCAAAAATTAAATATGCAAATATATAAAAATGGCAAGGCTTGATAAAAACACTGGGGTTTTGGGTTGGATTGGAATTATAGGTATTGATTTAAACCTGTATTTTTTTAGTATATATAGATAGACTCAGAAATTACATGTGTGTGTGTGTACATATATGAGAGACAAAGAAATTAAGTGTGTGCGTGTGTGTGTGTGTGTGTGTGTGTATGTATAAGAGAGAGAAAAAAAGGGACAGAGAGAGGCAGAGACAGAGAGAGACACAGAAAGAGGGAGATGTCCACTAAGATGGCCTAGAGTGATGATGACCTAGTAACAATGAGCACAGAGAGTACAAGAGTATTGATTTTTGAAGGTTATCCTCCTCTAAAATGAACTCTATTTTCTTTGAAAACCAGCAGGTTTTAGGGTTGGGGCAAGAAAATACATAATAAGCCAGAAAACAAGGAAATTCTTTAAAATTGATAAGGTAATGTCAGAAAGACACAAAGCCAGTTTGAAGGAACTCCCACTGGCCAGGTCAGGGATAATTTGAGCATAAAAGTATTTTGCATAACATCCTTCAGTTTTGGCTTGTCTGATGTTTTTCTCATGGTTAGACAATAGTTAAAGCCTTTGGGAGAAAGACCACAGAATTACAGGCTATTTTCATCACATATCAAGGGTACCGACTGTCAATGTGTCTATCACTGATGGCATTAACCTGGATGACCTGGCTGAGATGGGGTTTGTCAAGCTTCTGCACTGTATGGTTACTCTTTCCTCCACATACTCTTTTAGTACTCTTTACAAGGAAGCCCCTGTGTGAATCCAACAGTTAAGGAATGGGATGGGAAGTTGTACACAACTAATTGGATTTCTTCTGTATTGAATGTGTCTTTATATTGTGCTGCTATAACAGAATACCTGAGACATTGTAATTTGTAAAGAGCAAAGATTTGATTTTTATGGTTCTGGAGGCTGGGAAGTCCAAGATTGAGGGGCTCACATCTGGTGAGGGCCTTTGAGCTGTGTCATCCCATGGTAGGAAGATAGAAGGACAAGAGAGTGTGAGAGAGCAAGAGATTGAACTCACAGCCTCAAGCTGTTTTCTAACTGGCACTAATCCATGTATAAGGATGGAGACCTCATGACCTAAACACCTCCCATTAAGTCCCACCCCTCCACAGTAACATTGGGGATTATACTTCCAACACAGACTTTTTGGGCAACACATTCAAACCATAGCATTCTGCCCCTTGGAATTCTTCTGTATAAGATATTTATCTATTTCCCCCCATTTAATTATTTATTAAATCACTTATTTATATGAGCATGAACTCCTGAGTATTTATTTTATACTGCAAATTATAATCCAGTACTACTTATTTATTTGTTACTCAAATTGACTTTCCAGGTATTTTAATCATATATGGTAACTCTGTAGCATAGCTCAAATTATGAGCAATCACCACCCTCAGAAATGCATACTGAGCACTTTCTGTGTAAATGTGCTGTCAATCAGGCAATCAACAAATATTTTTTAAAGTGCTTCTATATATCTAATTGGGCCTGAAGGCATAGCTCTAGAGACCTAATTATTAGAAAATCTTAATTTTCTAAATTAAAATTTTAAAAAATCAAAAATCTACTAAAAGTCTAAAGTTTTCCTGGAAGCACAGAAACAAAACTGTGTTGTTCACCCCTTTGTACTTTACCACACAATGCTGTCCAATATTCACATTGTCTCCAGCCTACACAGACTTTAATTCCAGCTCAGGGAAGAAGTCAAAGAAGCTAAGGAGATTTAAAGTTTCTATTGGAAATTGAAGTTAGATCTTAGCCTCCTTCTTTTGCCAATGAAATTTCTAGGCAAGCTGTGAAGAAATGTGATTGGTCCAAATTTCAATCTGGCCAACTCGGAGTATGTTGCTCCACTAAGGACTGATTTAAGAGAGAAACATGCTTACTATCATTTAGTTACATCGACTATGATGTGGGCAACATTAACTATCAGTTTTACAAAGCACATAATTTTTAAAAACCCGGTTATTATACACTAGAATGTTAAATGAAAAAAATCATGAAAAAATGAGTAGTATGGCTTGAATATGCCCCCCAAAGTTCATGTGTTGGAAACTTAGCTGCCATTATAACAGTATTAAGATGTGCGGGTCTTTAAGTGGTGGTTAAGCCATGAGTGCTATGCCCACATGAATGGATAAAAGCCCTTATTTTGGGGGTGGGCTCCTGATAAAAGGATGAGATCATCTCAGTTTCCTCTCTCTGTCTCCTGTGCTCACTTCCACCTTCTGTGCTTCTGCCATAGAATGACCCTCACTGGATGCCAGCCCTGTGTTGTTGGACTTCCCAGTTTCCAAGACCGTCAGTCATTTTTCATAAATCACCCAGTCTGTGGTATTCTATTGCAGCAGCAGAAAATGGACTAAGACAATGGGTATTTAGAAAATAAATAACAATTGTTGCCTACAGAGATCGAGATCCTGCTCTTCCCCTTTCCCCCAACAAGATCTTAATATTTTTTGAGACTCCCCAATTTTTGTATAATGCATAACAATGTCACATTTTTTAAGTGGCTTTGATTTTAAAAAACTGTAACTATGAAACAGGGCACTGAGAAACCCTCCCCTCTCCAAGGAGTAAAAAAATAAATCACATAGATTTTTCCCTAGATTTTACCTTTTAGTTTAGAAATTAAGAAGGTAAGTGTTCTACTGAAAACCAGTAGTAAATTTGTCATGATCTTCTTTGTCTTCTGTTTTAAAGAAAGGAAGCATTCATTGACTGTTACAATAAACATTATAGAAAAAGAAATCATCACTAGGATACAAAGAAATAGAAGAAATAAACCAAAACAACATTTTAAGAAATGAAGGGGTTTTTTTTTTCCTTTTTAAAAAAAATTTTACTGGTAAACAACACATTCTTTAAAACTTTATTTTATAGATCTTACATTCATTGAATTGTATATAGGACAAAAGAAACTTTAAAGCATAGTTATTTCAAAGTAGCTGAAGGCATTCAAGCATAAATAGCACTCATTGGGATTATTTATAGACATTTGGAAATCAGTTCTGTTATGCCCATACATTTACACTAGACTAAGGTAAATTCCAAATCAAGCATTTTTGCAGAATGTAAAAGAAAATCAGGAAGGAAATTATAGGTATAGTTATGCTCCCCAATTTATTTATTCTTTAATTCTTTCCTTCTGGGTATTCAAAGTTCATGTACAATCGTTAATATATAAGTATGCATATATATGTATATAGTAAATGTCCTACTAAATGTAAAAAAAGTAAACAAAAAATAGTTTGGAATGGTTGTTTATTTTTAATGAAACTGTAACAAACCAAACTCTCTGCATGTTCCTACGTCATTCCCATAGATATTCCCTTTGTGTAATATCTGTGAAGAGGGAGAAGAAAGAAAAGAGGAGGAGGAGGGGAAAAGAAACAGAGGGAGGGAGAGGAGGGAGGAAAAGAAAAAAGAAAAAGAAATAAAATTTAAAAGACAATACAGAAAAAAGTCCTTTATATGAATATATGAAATAATATGTGGACCTGACCCATTATCCTTCACATGACTCCTTCTCTCCCAATCTAAAATTTTTAAAGTGAAGAATGATGAGAAGAAATTTAAAATTTTAGGTATATGTGAGAAAAGAAAACTCTTAGATCTCAGTTCTAAACTTCAATGTACACTTGTTCATTTGCTGCTCATAGTGAACATCAAATCTCTCATTCAAGGCTACTGTAAAGTGATTCTTCCAGTCTCCTGTAATCCCTGTAACAAAAGAGAAAAAAACATAAATATTGTCTTCAAGCCAGAATCATGAAGTTTTCTAACATTTACCATTTTCATTAACACCTGAGTAAATTTTATTCTTGTAATCCTCAATTTTAAGAATAAAATGTATACCAAAAATAATAAACTTATTTGAGCTTAAAAAGATGAATTTGACCTGATCAGTTTTTAAAAATAGCAAATTTCATTCTCTGATTCTTCTCTGTCACGCTGTTTCACTTAATCACTTCATTTTTTTTTTGCTTGTAATTTTCCCTGAAATATTAGTGCTCCCAGGATGAAACCCATGTTTTACCACTCCCAAGGTCAATGCTGATAACACTCCATCCACACTTATGCCTCTGTGTCCAATTGCCTACATGATCTTGCCACCTGGATGCTGTGCAAGTATCCCAAGTTCAATTCAATTAGTTCAAAAATAAGTTTTATTTATTTATTTGTGTGTGTGTCTGTGTGTGCATGTGTGTGTGTGTGTGTTTGGCTGCCCAGTATGGGGATCCATAAATTAATTTCTTTTCCCACCAAATTGTGTTTTCTCTGTGTACTTTTTCATAACATGATTAATGGCAACACCAGGTATCCAAGGCATTAACTTGGACATTATCTCCTTGATCACAACATCTAATTCATTATTCATATTCAGACTTACTTTGTATCCATTGCCTCCTCTCCACTTGTGCTTCCCCTGCCAATTAGGGGACCTCCTTGGGGTTTCCCACCTGTGTGATTACCATAGTCTAGCAGGCTCTTTCCTTTTGCTTTTCATCACATATTTAATGCTCCCTTTGAAGACGAAAGTCACCTTTTATATTAAATTAGTTTTTAAATTAGTCAGTAGTTCACTTGCCCTCTAGCTCAAGGAGCTTTAAACTTTTTCACTGAAATAATCCATAGAGCAGAAGATAGGAAATGAGTACCCTGAAAACCAGGTAGAGTCTGAGAGTATAGCAGTAAGCATCCTTCTGCAAGCATGACGATTATCTTAAATCCCGTGTTTTACCTTAAATATATATGTAGACATTTTGGAAAAAGAAAATTAAAATATAACCTGAGAATTGACTCTTTTTTCAAGGGCTCTATGTTTTTTGCCCAGTGGCAGAATTGTTATTTCTGTTATTTTAAAAATTCCCTGATCCTCTCCCTGACAATTTGCTCTGAAGAGCAAAATTTTCTCTATTCTTCCTCGCATGTCAGTAAAAAAGGATGTCTCAATACTTTGCACTTCCTACGGACCTCTGCATTTACAATCTGACTATGTCTCACCAGGTTATGTCTCCTCCTGAATTGAATTTTACATCATTGTATTTTGATAGTTTTGCTAAACAGAGAATGTATTTGAATTCCTGCCTTTACCGCTTTGTTTTGAAAAGTTTGTCACTTACTTAAGAAAAAGCTGACTAATTGGTCTAAGCTTATTTCTTCATCTCAAAATAAGATGACAATAGACACTTTATTCTGCATTTCTGGCTAGAACTCAAAGAGACAATATACATATAAGGTATGGTACGTGTGCAGCACCAAGGCACATACACTTAGTAAATAATAGTTAGTGAAGTGTGGTATTATTGTTGGTGCTAAGGTTGGGGTGTCTGCTGGTCATTCCTAATATAATATGTTGTATATATTAAACAATTAACAAGTAATAGTAATTTATTATAAACACTGTTAGTAGTAGTAGTAGTGTTTTGTGCCTTTGCAGAACTGGTAAGTCAATACAGAGGGTGCTTAAATGTGAAAGAGCACTAAAGAAACATAAACTGGGTCCACAGGTATTAATAGATCTCAACAGTTTTTTGCCTATAATGATGTCAACTTGTGACTTCCTAAAGCACTAGAGGCAAACCCCATGACTTCCTCACCCTTTCTTATGAAGGGTGTCACTTTTTGATTTATGATTTCGTCTGGTACTGTTGTATAATTGGTACATGGATTGTTTTTCATCTCCTGGAATAAAGTGTGTTGTACGATTTTTTCCACAAGCTCCTCTGATGGCTTCCTCCCCAGGAACCGTATCAATTTTACCACCTCTTTTCTGATATCCTAAGGAGAAAAAAAATTATTTGAAGACCAAATTGCTAAAATTGCTAACATTTAACAAATTGCTATTTGGATTTAAAGAAAAAAAGACAGAAAACCTTTCTTTTTCTTTTTTTTTTATTCCCCGCTGATATTGGAATTAGACTTCTAGTGAGGAAAAACACTTCTTGAGGAAGTGGGGGCTTTTTAAAAAAACAATTCTAAGCATAATTCTCCTCATTCATAAAATAGATATAAAAGATTCTTCAAAAATTGTTAGAACTAAATTACATGATGCTTGTAAAATGCTTACATTAGTCTTTGATGCAAAGTACAAGCTCAACAAATATTATCTATGAAAATGAATACAAATTCTCTAAGACTACAGTCACCCATGACAGATCAAGTTTGGAGGATGAAAATATGTAGACAGCTTTCAATTTTCTCCTAATTTACTGGTGTAATTAAGGAGAAGCAAAGGAACAAAAATGATTAAGAAAATACACTAAAAAGTCAAACACTCCACATGGAGCATCAGATGTATATGCACCACAGCTACAAATTTCTGTAGCATGCCCTATAATTCAGCTAAATCAATCAATGTGACTATTTGCAATACCAACTGCAATGTTTATTCTCACAAGTATTTCTCTCTGTGCACAATGCTGTTCCCAATTCTCTATTCACAAATTACAGATGCCTTTCAAACTTCAGCTTACCTGTTACTTTTACTATATACTGCATGCTCCCCCAACCTCATTGAAGTTTAAATCCCCATTGTAGCTGTTAAGAGGGTGGAAAATCCTATTACTGCAATTGAAAGGTGGAGGCTTGAAGAGGTGACTGGATTATAGGATCACACCATAGTGAATGGATTAAAAATGGGCAAAAGAGCTAAGCAGGCATTTCTCTAAAGAAGATATACAAACGGCCAACAGTCATATGAAAAAATGCTCAACATCACTCAGCATCCGGGAAATGCAAATCAAAACCACACTGAGATACCATCTCACCCCAGTTAGGATGGCCAAAATCCAAAAGACACCGAAAGATAAATGCTGGCATGGTTGCGGAGAGAGGGGAACTCTCATACATTGTTGGTGGGAATGTATATGTGTACGGCCATTGCAAAAAATAGC